TTGAAAAATGCACAAACCACTTGAGTCGCGAACTATGAATAGGGCGACGCTGTTCGGGCTGGGAGGGGTATTTTGCTTTTTCGTTCATGGTAACCAAAGGTCTCATTTTGGTGCGACTGAAGTCTTGTAAAGCTGCAGAATGATATGAGTGAGTCACTTTGTCATAAGAACTCACAAGTCTTTATAAGGTGTACTGCACAGGCTTTACTGAGTACCATTCGTTGCCCCCACCAAGCCGAACTGCGGCATTAAGCGCGATGCTCTCTCATGGGAGTGGCCATAAAAAATGAAGCATATGGAAGGTTTTGTGAGTACTTGCACACAAACTTTCGTAACCAGGCTTACTGACCCTTCTTTATGGATTACTATATCTAAAATATTACCTTTTTCTCCGCGGTACCCGGCGTTGGTTGAAGAGCGGTCTGACCGCTTGTGGTTGTGGAACGTCCTGCGGTTGGACCTGACACTCCTGAACGTGTAGAAGCCGAACGCGTCAGTGACATTCTCTGAATAGGCGCTCCGGTGATCCTCCTTCCTGTTGTGGGCGAGGTTTGGCTAGATGTTCCCATAGGTGTTGTGCCTGGACGGCGTCTCGTCGGGCTCGCTCTGTAAATTGTCCCGTGAATAGTGGGTGGTCTTGCTGGAACTGGGAGAGATGGTGCAGCTTGCTTTGACGTTTGCGTTGGCATTGTCTGCGGTGCTATGGTGGCCGATTTGAGCTGAGAGAGGGGAGGTGGTTGAGCCGGTCGTCGTCCTTGAGGGGATGATAGCATGGCCGTAGTTTTCGATGGAGCTGACGTGGTAGGAGCTTGCGTAGTCGAGACAGCAGATGTGGGAACAGAGGGCTGAAAATCATTGTTTTGAAGGGAAGGGTTCAAACTGAGGTTAAACCAGACTTACCTGTTGTTTGGACGATTCCGGAGATTGGCTTTGGAAGGGCAGTGGAAATCTGGAAAAGGCAAATGTTATTCAAAAAAGGGGTCTGTGACAAAACAGTCCTGATATGCCTCACTAGTGGGCGTGGCAAACGGGGCCGCGCTGAAGGACGAGTTGTGCTGCCTGGCCGTTCAGATGTGAATGTTAAAGGGAACGGTAAAGTAGATATCGCCCGTCATGGAGCCTTGTCTCCGCTTGGACTGACATAAGTGTCGCTGCTCCGAACGAAAAGCCCAACACCATCAGGATTTGCCGCGTATCGCCGCATGACACGCCGCGCGCGACGTCGCGATGAGTCACGATGATCTTGTCTGTATTTGTAGCATTCACATCAGTCCGTAATTAGGGGTTGGAGGGGGTTTGTCCAGGGGCTTAATTGTGAGTCATTGCTAGTGTTGTCGGACAAGCACAGACTTTTGAGAGCTTAGAAGTATTCCCTTTTGTCGTCTGCGTTCTCTCACACAGGATATCTGCGTCTCTCCTCTGACAATCGATAACTGTCCTCCTGACGGGAGTGAGTGGACCCTGCCCCTCTAATGTCGATTATGGACTCTACTTAACCTTGTTTAGCGATTATTTGATAGCGATTAGCACTGCAGAATTCACATGGGTGAAAACTGCGCCAAATTTGTCGCTCGAGCGCTTTAGGGACGTTTTCTCTTCCGTTCCTGCGAGCGTAATCCTGCGTCGGCGGAGAACTCTCACTTGCCATGTCACAACCATGCCCCTTTCTTTTCTTGAACAGTGATAGCGAGAAGAACGCCAATGGATATGCTAATTGGTAGGCTCCGCCCATCCAACGAACATGGAATGTGGGCTGGCTCCTCATATTCTTCGTCGATACTGTAAAGATCAATGGCCTACAGCAGTAGCGACCCATAAAACTTCACGAAATTCATCTCATCTTAATTGCCACCACCCAACCAACTAATAACTATAAACTTGCCGATTCTGTACTGGACGGGCCGCCGACAGCATCAGGTTTCGGCTTCTCTGAAAACATTAACGTTTCAGGCGCTACTCCATTCAGGCGGAGAGGGGGGGGGGTATTCTCAAAGAGTTTCGTGGTAACGAATGCGAATGATAAATGCATTGGCGAAAGATATTGAGTAATCAAGCGCTGGGCTTCAGCTCTAGCAAGCGCTCGCCGGAAGACTTGGCGCTTGCATGCTCGCGCCCGCCCCAACCCACTCTGCCCCTGCCCCCAGCATCTGAAGAGCCTCTTTAGTGCAAAGAGACTGTTTCGCCATTGAGAAGTCTCTTGCAGCGCTGGGGTGGGCCTTCAGATGATTTTAGGATACTTAATGGTATTTGGTAGTCTTCACAGGTAGTGACAACTCAAGACCTATGCTACAGGGAGCCAAAAAGAGACAACTTTTCTTCCTGACTTTCAAAGGCGCTAAGCTACACGTTACGAAATTCTGACTGGACATGCCACTACCATTTAGAAGCAAATGGAAAGGATAACATTGGGAAAGGAATACACTCCAGGAGTTTTCGGACTGCTCGATGTTGATTGGTCTTCCTCAAATCAAAAGTACGTGGTCTCCAGGTAGCTATGCCAGGGTGATCGCCTAAATTAGAAGTTGCCTACGTATAACTTTACTGAGATATGTGACAGGGCGAAGTGTCTTTTTTGGGCCCCCTCTGTATTTTTTGCTATGATAACTGCCCCTTCTTAATTGACCATTGAAATGGAACTGATATCATTAAGTTACTTAATATGCCATTCAAATAGTTTTCGCCGGTATGATAAACAGCGGAGACGAAATCCCTCCTCCCAAAAGAAATATGTTGCTCCAAATTTGATACCGGTAAACATGGGTGTTTGTCAAAAGGGACGTACTTTGTTCAGTGGGTAAAGGCGCTCCTTCGACTTTTGCTGCAGGTGTTCCTGTGGCTAATATTGTGTCCTGAGATAAGCAGAGCAATATTAGTTTAGGTCGAAAAGAAACATTCGATAGAATCTTATTACCTTCTTTGCTTCAGCGTATGGTGGAGGTGCACCAAGAGGTACGGACACTACGGCTGCTTGACCTTTCTTGAAAAAATTGACCAATTAATTTGATTTACTGCCTGCATAACCCAAGTAACAGTTTTTGTAGGCAGGGGGATTGTGCAGAGGAGAGACCGCGCTCTGATTTCCCTTAGTGAAGAGAAACCCGAAGCTTTGAGTAAGGCGCTAGAAAAGGAAATTCCAGCAGGAGATGTCGTGCATGTGTCAAACTGGTAACGAATGACTGGGTGGAAAAGCGGAGAATGGGACAAGTTGGAGGAGATGGAGAGACGCGGAAAGGATTGTTCTGGTAACTTTAGTATGCAAAGGAAGTAAAGTTCGCGCAATGCACATAAGGCGAAGCCCGGTGGCACTATGGCAGTACATCTGTTTGAAGCAAAAAGTCCGCGATGCATTTGCCATCAGCAGTTTGACGAGATTTTGGGAGGTGCATTAGATGACAGGTGTGATTAACTCGATATGTGTAGAAAAAAGCAGAAAGCAGCTTAAAACATGCGAACCGGTTGCAACCGCGCATCCCGAGTCGCAGTTTGTAGTGCCGCAGTTGACCATCTCGCAACACTAGCGCCCCATGGGCGCAAAGCCGATGAGAATCTCCACCACCGTAAAAGTAACGTTTTTTTATGCATATTGCGTTCCTCAGGCTTCGTTTTTCATTGAAAGCGGGCCCTAAGAGAGAGGAGTCTGGAGGCGGAGCCACTGGAAGAGAAGGAGGCGTCCACTGGGCCTGTTATATGCTCTATGAGCGCCTATCCTTACATGTTTTGCCGCAAACGCAGTACAATGTTTGTCGCGAACCACACTACCTCTACAACCATATTCTCTAATTCCTATACGCTGATCGCGGACCGTCGCCGGTTTAAGATGAAAAGTGTAAGAGCTCACCTAACCGCTTCCTCTGATTCTCAAATTCTCTTTTTCCGCTTTTTCTCTTTGTCAGGACGTTTAATGTCGAGTTCCAGCAGTTTCGATTTCGAAGGGAAGTGACGATTTGAATTGTGGCGGCTGAAGCAATAGGATATTTTTGTGGGAACTAACGCAGTTGGCGAGGAATGGGGAGAAGGGCTGAGGGGGAGCGGTGGAGGTGTGAGGAGGGAGGAGGCCACTCAGGAGCGGCCCCTTACTTTGCCGGCGAAGCGAGGGTGGAGACCGGCTTTCCCTGAGGGTCGGAACCGGAGTTGGGCAACCACTTGTAACCCCTAAAAGCTGGAATGTGCGAAGTCACAATAACCACAGAATGCCATGCGGACAAGAGAGTGCAGAGAAAAACAGAAGATCGAACGCGTTTCAAAGGGATTTAGTTTTAAGTTGTCGGTAACCTGTCCCATCTTATTGTCTGCCCCCCCCCCCCCCCCCCCCCCCCCCCCCCCCCCCCCCCCCCCCCCCCCCCCCCCCCCCCCCCCCCCCCCCCCCCCCCCCCCCCCCCCCCCCCCCCCCCCCCCCCCCCCCCCCCCCCCCCCCCCCCCCCCCCCCCCCCCCCCCCCCCCCCCCCCCCCCCCCCCCCCCCCCCCCCCCCCCCCCCCCCCCCCCCCCCCCCCCCCCCCCCCCCCCCCCCCCCCCCCCCCCCCCCCCCCCCCCCCCCCCCCCCCCCCCCCCCCCCCCCCCCCCCCCCCCCCCCCCCCCCCCCCCCCCCCCCCCCCCCCCCGGGATCGGGCGAGGGCGGCGCGCCGGGCCGGCGGAAAAGATGGCGGGAGAGGTCCCTCGAGGGCCATCGAGGAAGGAGCACTCGGTCGTTCCCTGATCTACGGCCCCACCGCGGTGTCCCCGCGGGACCCTGCGCAGTGAGAGGGGCGGATCAAAGTTGCCCCGCGGCCCCCCCTCCCCCCCACCTTCCCCCCCCCCCCCCTCCCCCCCCCCCCGACACCTTGTAATCGTCAGTTGTTGAAGCTCGCATTCATATGCTCGAGAGGACCAGGACTCGCTTGAACATTGGCGCTAAGGATGAGTTCCCCGTGGAATATTCCCATGTAACGTAAGCCACGTCTTTCCCGTCTCTAAGATATGGAGTGTATATGATGAGGAAACATTTTCTCACCATTCATCTTTGTCACCCTTTTTCTCTTTTTCTTTTTCTTTCTTGGCATCTTCGTCTTTCGGCTGAATTACAACTGCAGTGGGTAACTGTGGACTTGCCTAAAATGATTGGCTATGTTTCACAATTGCTGTTTAAGGGAACCAGAGCGTGTAGCGACACTTGTACAGTAACAACCGGTTGGGCATACAGATCAGGGAACCTCTTTCGTGCATCGCGCCCAAACCGGCATTACCAGCTACTGATCTAGTTGACATCGACATAGCAGCTCACAGCGCTAAGCGCCAGTTGATCATCAAGATCTTGGCGGGAAGGCTTCTCTCTCCATTCAGTGTTCTCGTCAACTTCAAACAGAGAAAGGGCAAATCGTGGAATGTCGAGTTTCAGAGATGTGGCCACGAAATGACCTTTGAACACGGGCTGCTACCATGAATTAGCGGATTTCACGTGAAATTCCGTATCGGTTAACGTAGCTAATGGACTGGTTCTTATTACTGCAAGCTCATATATTTTTGTACTACACGCTACCCGTGATAATTCGGCGCGGTCGGCTAGAGAGCGTGGGCAACCAATTCGAGCGCATTTGTAGACACGGCACTTGACCACACCATCCGGTACCCTGGGGGGAGGGTGTGGCCCCACGGGTATGTGGCAAGAGAATCGTAATTCGCCGCGCCAGTGGGCGTCGCGTGCGACGTCGCGCCCGCTAATGACGACGATTTCAGGTGGTATTGGTCGAGAATAGACAATGTATGACCAAAAATAGACATAAGTGTCTACCATGTCCTTGTCTACATGAAAAATGCTCCATTCGAAAGGGTAGAGCAAATTAAGAGGATGTCGCGCCCATTGCCGCGCGCGACGGAGCGGCAACTTACGGTTCTCTTGCCCGTCTCCCGTGGCCCCTTATCCTACCAATGACGCTTGAATTGGTTGGTACCGGCCTCGTTTCCCACGCGCCCACTGTCGTCAGGTTCGTTGCTAACACTGAAATACTCACAGTTCTTCCGTTTGCACGTACATTACATATCATTTCGAGAATGTACAGAACAACCATAAGCAGGGCGAGCAATAGCGTTATCTAAACAGAGGGCTATTTGTAGACCGCAACTTTCTTACAGTGCTATATTGCGCACGATGCAGCTAGCTAGCTTGAGGTCAGTTCCTCATACTTTTTCCTACAAAACGTCCATAAATCATGCAGATTGTTTCTCAGAAGTTGGATAACTCCTAATTGTCAGTACATGTGATCAGAAGGGACTCCTTTTCTCTGGAATCTCGTTTTTGGCGCTTGCATACTTCGCGACAGTCGGGCGATTTGAAGTTCGCACAATTGCTACCTACCGCGCTCCAAGGCTAACCATTGGATGTACTTAATATGATAAGATGTAATTAAATTGTAATTGTAAAATGTAACCAATTCAGTAGTTACGGTAACTCCAGCTATAGAGCGCGGTTGGTCGGTGTAGCGCGATTTGGGTAACCCGCGAATGATTTAGCCAAGTCACAAAGTACAGTCCTCTTCATTGCGGACCGGTGGGGCGTGTCAGCCAGAAGGAGTGTGCACATTGTTTGAAGCCGTGTCTTAGGTTTTTTGTTGAAACGCGTATGCGACAAAAAGTGGTAAACGAGTAATACGAAGGATATAATACAGTAATGTCACTTGCCCGCTTCAACAACTGGTGCAGAACGACTTTGGCACCGCGCCAAACGCAGCCGCACTGACACGCCCACCGGTCCGCAATGATGAAGGACTGACCTGACGTTTTTCTGTCGCGACAAGTGGTCCCCGAGTACCAAAGCGGCTCCTGCCTGTCATTATCGTTTTCGGCCCTACCTCGAGTAGTTCTACTCCACTTTTCCCTTATCCAAACTCCCGACATTCTTAGGTCCGCACTTCTTCCAAATTAAACCCCCCGCCCACGAAATGCCTCTTCAAAAAATCCGCAATTGCCCCTGCTGTGGGTAACCCTTTCCTAACAAGCAAAGATGCCGCGTCCACGATCGCAGGTAAGCGCACCGCTTTCACGGCTCGAAACTATTAGTGATCAATGGTCTGCTACAGTAGTTAGGTTCCACCCACGGTGATCATCACATGCTCCTTTTATTTCGTTTGACAGCTGTAGCAAAAGTGAAGCGTTATCGCTCGTTTGTATACCATTTTCTCTTCTCGCTGCGAAGGGGACTACTGCTTTCAAAAACTCGTTTCGTTTGCCACGCTTCTTTCCCGGTCTGCTACTGACGGCCTCCACTCTCAGCGAAGCTCACTTTCTGCTCAAGGGCGTCTCCCATTTCTTTCAGGTCTGTTTTTTTCCTAGGAGTTAATACGCTGCCAGCGTAACCACTTACTAGGAGGTCGTTTTCAGGACGTGAGCGCTTTTTGAAACGGTTTTTTTTTGCATGATGTGGTGTTACGTGGCATGTGAATGTGGGTTACGTGGCATGGAGTAGCGGGCACAACTGGTGTTCATTTTTCCTGAACGCCTCTGGGAATGCCAAAAATGGAGTGAAAAAGAAGTCCATGGAAACCGACTGTTTTTGAGCCTGAATGGGCTCTAAATCACTCGCAACTTCGGCCAGTTGCTGCCTATAGGGTCCTTATAAAGGTACTGGTATCGATGAGAAAAGTAGTCGCAATGGGGTCCTACTTGTGGCACGTAGTCCCCAATTTGGAGCCAAGTCTTTCTCCCACTGGAGTCGCTATGTACATTCGTTTGAGGGACTTGCAGGGCCATTCTGACGCCAGATTGGGTTGATGTCAAGAATAAGTGTCAGAATCGTGATCAGGACCATCGATTACCCCTATAGGCAAACTTTCGGCCAAAAAATTTTTTTGACTTTTTTTGAGTTGTGATAGACCGACCATTTGGTCGTCGGTGATGACCGGAGACCCACAACTTTGGAGCTGCGATGACGTAGCGATGACGTGGTGGGCCGCCGGGCAGCCGCATCGCGGATTTGGTGCTCATAAGGTCCATTCATACTTGGCATGGGCATGGGTGGCCGCAGAACAAGTGAAAAACCATCCTGGACATTTGTCGACCCCCGCGACGGCTCGCTCAACGAAGATGTCGTCCTCCCCTACCAAGAGGAGAGACTCATCCGATTTCTTCCTCAAATGCACCTGGAGGAATGATGACTATTTTGTTCTTTTTTTCGATGGCGTTTATGGTTGTTGCTAGTTTTTTGTTTCCGTACCACTGAATGAGGGTTTCGATAACCAGCAAAAGTACGACTTCAACAAAGTGACTCTTGAGCATAACCCAATGCACAGACTCAAAAAAGTCAAAAAAAATTTTTGGCTGAAAGTTTGCCTATAGGGGTAATCGATGGTCCTGATCACGATTCTGACACTTATTCTTGACGTCAGAATGGCCCTGCAACTCCCTCAAACGAATGTACATAGCGACTCCAGTGGGAGAAAGACTTGGCTCCAAATTGGAGATAAATGGCACTAGAGCTGAAAGTAAATGCCATAGTCATGATCAGGGCATCGAATAACATAAGCTCAGCTTTCAGACAAGTTCTTGCTTAATGGTATGTGAAATCGAAATTGCTGAATAGCACCGACTACGGGCTATAACTATTTAGGATGTGCCTATAAATGGCAGATATCCGAGTAAAATTCATTAACAGACGTATATGGAAGCGACAACAACGGAAAAAAAATGCAAAAACGTGCAAGCCGAGGGGAGTCGAACCATCATCCCCCATCCCCACTGCCTGCTTGGGAATCCTCCACGCTATCCACTAGGCCATCCGATCGTTGGCACAGGCACCACTTCGATTGCTTAAGAGCCCATCGAATTGGCCGTCGACTCTTAACTACGTGCCACAAGTAAGACCCCATTGACGACCACTTTTCTCATAGGTACC